AAAAGACAAAAGTCCATCCAGTTCAACCACAAAAAAAAAGTTATTATCCTATACCCACAGTTGATCCAGAGGAAGGCAAAAAAACCCAGCAAAGCATAATCCAATTTTCTCCTGCATGGAAATAAAATTCCTTCCTGATCCCCCGAGAGGCAATCGGAAATTCCCTGGATCAACTTTACCAATAAATGTTAGTATCCGGTTATATTCTGTGTATCTAGGAAAGAATCCAGGCCTTTTTTAAAGCAATCCACTGAGCTGGCCAGAACCAACTCTTGAGGGAGTCTATTCCACATTTTTACAGCTCTCACTCTGAAGAAACTTTTCCGTGTTTGGAGATTAAATTTCTTTTCCTCCAGACGTAAAGAGTGCCCCCTTGTCCTCTGTGATCTCAGGGTGAATAACTCTACACCGAGGTCACTATATGAACCACTGATGTATTTATACATGTTGATCATATCCCCCCTAATCTCCTCTAATCAAGAGAGAATAAATTCAGTTCCTCTAATCTTTTCTCATAGCTGATCTCCTCCATGCCTCTTATCAGTTTGGTTGCCCTTCTTTGTACTTTCTCCAGTTCCTCAATGTTCTTTTTGTGAATTGGTGCCCAAAACTGAACTGCATATTCCAGATGAGGTGTTACCAATGATTTGTACAGGGGTAATATGAGATCTCTCTCTCTCTCTGGAGCCTATACCTCTTTTAATACAAGAGAGGATTTTGCTCGCTTTAGAAACCGCAGCTTGGCATTGCATGTCATTATTAAGCTTGTGATCTACCAGAACCCCCAAATCCTTCACCACTGATCCCCCCAATTGTACTCCCCCTAGTATGTATGATGCATGCATATTCTTAACCCCCAAGTGCATAACCTTACATTTATCAACATTAAACCTCATTTGCCACATAGTTGCCAATTAAACAGTGCATTGAGGTCAACTTGTAAATTGAAGACATCCTGTAAGGACATTATTCCACTGCACAGCTTGGTGTCATCTGCAAAGACTGAAATGGGATTTTTAATCCCAGACCCTATATTGTTTTTAAATATATTAAAAAGTAAGGGTCCCAACACTGAACCTTGGGGTACACCACTGATGACCCCAGGCCATTCAGAGTATGAATCATTAACCACTACTCTCTGAATACGATCTTTTAGCCAGTTTTCTATCCATTTACATACAGATTTTTCCAAGCCCATAGACTTTACCTTACACATTAGCCATGTGTGGGAAACTGTGGCAAAAACGTTTGCAAAATCCAAGTATACCATGTTCACAGCCACCCCTCTGTCTAAGGTTTTACTCACCTCCTCATAAAAAGAAATCAGATTTGTTTGACAACTTCTGTCTTTCATGAATCCATGCTGTCTGTTGCTTAACCTCCCTGGCGGTTTTCCGAGTGTAGCTCGGGGTAACATTTCAGTACCAAAAGCGGTAACCCCGAGCTACACTCGGGCTTACCCTGAGGCACTGCTCCGGCATGTGTTCTTCACTTACCTTACCCTGCGCTCCCACGATGTGTCCCCCTGCAGCGTCCCCGGCCATCTCCTCCGGCCGATGCTGGCATCCGGCTTCTGTGTCCTGTCCCTGTGACGTCGGGACGTACGGGCGCCGCAGCCGCCGGCGGCGGAAAATTTAAAAATTTTAAAAAATGTCATTTTTTTTTTTTTTTTACATTTTACCTAGTAAAACATTGCTGTCTCAACCAATTTCACATACATATTGTCCCTAATGCTTTGCCCTGCGCCCTGCCTGCATTTTGTCTATTCTTTCTGCCTGGAAACTGAGAAATGTCCATGGCGTCCAAAAAGTGTCCCTTTAGGTCAAAAGCGGTTTGAACAGCTAGAGAACAGCGATAGTAAATCAGAACCACTTGCAGAATTGAGTGATAATGATTCGTGGGGGAAATTCGTCATCAGACACTGAAAACGATTTTGCGACTGAGCTCAGCAATGTGCGAACTTGGCGCTCTATTTCACATTTCAGTGTTTTTGGTTTGATTATATTATTGAATTAAATTTTTTATTATTTTTATATTATTTTTATGATTATTTATTAAATTATAATTTATGATTTTGTGTTTCAAATTTTATGATACCCGGGATGTTTACTAGACTCTTGTTCGGACAGATTTCAGTGAGTTTTTCCTAAAAATTACAGCCTACAATAAAAAAAATACATATTTCCATGCAAAAAAATGGTACCGCTTTCAGCACCAAAAATCTGAAATAATCATACCGCCAGGGAGGTTAAAATATTTTTTTCCAGCAAGAACTCATCTATGTGGTCTTTTATTAAACTCTCCAGTATCTTCCCAACTATAGAAGTTAAACTAACAGGTCTATAATTACTTGGTAAAGATTTTGACCCCTTTTTAATTATTGGCACCGCATTGGCCTTACGCAATCCAGTGGTACTATGCCAGTCATTAAAGAGTCCCTAAAAATTAGAAACAATGGCTTTGAAATGACAGGGCTTAATTCTTTAACCTCCCTGGCGGTCTGATTATGTCAGTATTTCTGTACTCAAAGCGGTACATTTTTTTGCATGGAAATATGTCTTTTTTTATTGTAGGCCTTTAATTTTTAGGAATAACTCACTGAAATCTGTCCATACAAGAGTCTAGTAAACATCCGGGGTATGCTAAAATTTGAAACACTAAATCATTAATTATAATTTAATAAATAATCATAAAAAATAATAATCTAATAAATTTAATTCAATAATATAATCAAGCCAAAAACACTGCAATTAGAAATAAAGTTCGCACATCACTGAGCAAAGTCGCAAAATCATTTTCAGTGTCTGATGACGAATTTCCCCACGGATCATTATCACTCAATTCTGCAAGTAGTTCTGATTTACTATCACGGTTCTCTAGCTGGTCTAAAACGGCTTTTGACCTAAAGGGATGCTTTTTGGATGCCATGGACGTTTCTCAGTTTCCAGGCAGAAAGAACAGTAAAAATGCAGGCAGGGCACAGGACAAAGCACTAGGGACAAAATGTATGTAAAATGCCTTGATACAGTAATGTTTTACTATGTGATTTTAGTGTATTTAGTGAATGTCACTTTTTGAGATTTTTACATTTCCTTCCGGTTATGTGCCCCGTACGTCCCGACGTCGCAGGCAACGGAACCTGGAAGACAGATGCCGACATCAGCCAGAGGAGATGGAAGGGGACGCTGCAGGGGGGACATTGCGAGAGCGAAGGACAAGGTAAGTGCAGAAGGGATCCTGGAGCAACGCTGCAAGGTATTCCAGAGTGTAGCTCGGGGTTACCGCTTGTGGTGCTGAAACTTTACCCCGAGCTACACTCGAGAATACTTCCAGGGAGGTTAAGGATGCATGGGTGTATGCCATCCAGTCCAGGTGCTTTATTCACCTTTATTCTGTCTAAATATTTTTGGATCATATCAATTGTGAGCCAATGTGGATCATCTGGAGCTGTGTCAATGCCATACCCATTATGGACAAGAGCAACCCCATGCTCCTTTGTATATACAGAGCTGAAGAAGGTATTTAATAAAATTTGCCTTCTCTTTGTCCCCAGTCACCCACTCTAGAATATTTTGTAAAGGGCCTACATGCTCGGACCTGACTGGACAGTCTACTTGCCTTTAGTAAATTAACCAAAATCAGCACTGTTTTTTGCAAATGGAACACATATGTTTTGCATTGCATGTTTAGGAAGTTAGCTAAATGGGCCCAAGTTCTGCTAGATACAGGCAGAAAAAAGTAGATTGGGAGTGTCTTGGCTTGATTTTGGATGGGAATTACATTTTCTATTCCAACCTTTACAGTTTAGAGGTTTGATGAGGCAAATGAAGATGAGTTATCAATAACGTATCATATAATGTGTAAAAATATTTCAATTATTCTTCTAGGTCTTTGGATTATTAATGTTAATAATGATAAGCTTGGATATTCAGTTTTAGAGAAGTCTAAATTCTCAGGCTTTGAATTAGATGAGCCTGAAGACTTTGGATTGAAGCATTGTAGGAATGCCTTACTTCTTTGCAACGTTGATTTTTCTCCAGTGGTCATGCTTTGTTTTATGGAAAAAAAAAACCCTAGGTTTGAAAAATTGCTTGATTAAGTGGCAGGCTGTAATGTTACCAAGTTCCCATTGGAAACATTTTGTTGTATAATTTACAAAGTTACTGACAGTGCTTCATTTAAAGAAATGGGCCTAATTTTCTGAAACAAAGTGAGGGGAATTTAAGGTGGAACTAAACCCATTATTTAACAGTTTCAAAAACAGCTAAATTCCCAGCATGCAGGGAACTATTAAGCAGGCCATAGAGGAGTTGAAAAACAAAAGCTCAAAAGCTCATAAGCTTGTGCCATCAATTGTTTCAATTTAAAAAAAAAAAGTTGGTTCAGACACTTTTGATTGCAGCACGAAAATTGTGTGTCGCAGCTAACACAAATGATGCAAAAAACGATTGACTTGATGATCGACACAAATTGAATTTGTGTTTCAACACGTCTATGGCCTGCCTTACTGTCACATTTGCTTGTGCTTTTAACCAAACTGTCTAACTATCAAATGGCTGGTGTCGTAACTGATCAAATGTGCAGCATCTTGGCAGTTGCAGATCAAACAGAGGCTAAGATGGAAGCTTCCTTGGCTGAAAAGAATAAGAGGGTTTAGCTCCACTTTAAACTGGAGCAGATGGAATTTTGAGCAGCTGAACATAACCAATCAGATAATATCTTCAGTATGTTATGTTAAAGTAGAACTAAATGAATAGATTTACCTGGTAGATACAACAGTTAGGACTCGTTCACACTTGCAGGGACTGGCATTTTTCTGGACTGGATGAATGCTAGTCACCACAAGGGGAAATAGAAACAATTGTGTCCCATTTGCCCTGCAACACAGAGGTTCAGTGCAGTGAGCTGTGGTTTAACCACTTGCCTACCAGACCAATTCCTTACATTTAAAGAGATTCTAAAGGTTTATTTTTCTTTAAGAAAAAATAACAAACATGTCTATACTTATCTGCTGTGTGCAGTGGTTTTGCACAGAGCAGCCTGGATCCTCTTTTTCTTGGGTCCCCCACAGGCTCTCCTTGCCCCTCCCTTTTGTCGGGTGCCCCACAACAAGCAGCTTTCTATGGGGGCACCCACTGCTCCGTGTGTCCATTCACATGGCCGCACCCCTCTTTTCTTCTCATTGGCTCACTGACTGTGATTGACAGCAGTGGGAGCCAATTGCTCCCACTTCTGTCTCAGCCAATGAGAAAGTGCAGGGATTGCCGAGACTCCAGTACATATCTATAAGTGGAGCCTGCCCAGTGGACTGTGGTTAATGTGGAAATAGACTGGCTGCTGCTAGCACTACCACAAATGTGTATTAAACAAATGTGTGAATACAAACATAAATAAATGCTGTGCTGCCACTAGTGAGTGAATGTGCCACACTATATTCATGATTATTATTATTATACAGGATCTATATAGCGTACCCTGGCATAAGGAGAGGAACTGATGGTTGTGTTATTGATCTTGATGGAGAAGTCTGGGGAGGGGGCAGTGGCTGGAGGGAATACTAAGAGCTCAGTTTTGGAAAGATTGAGTTTGAGGAAGTGGAGTGACATTAATGCCGATATGTCACTTAGTAGGTTAGTAATGCGAGCAGAGACTGAAGGGGTGAGGTGAGGAGTAGAAAGATAGATTTGTGTGTCATCAGCATAGAGATGGTACTTAAAGCCATGGGAGTTTATCAAGTGACCAAGGGAGGAGGTGTAGATGGAGAAGAGGTCCAAGGACGGAACCTTGAGGGACCCCTACAGAAAGGGGGAGTGGAGAGGAGCAGCCAGAGTTATAGGTAACGCTGAAGGAGCGCTGCGATAAGTAGGAGGAGAATCAGGAGAGAGCAGAGTCTCAGAGGCCAAGAGAGTGGAGTTTTTTGAGGAGGAGGGGATGGTCAACCGTATTAAAAGCCCCAGAAAGCTCAAGTAGTAAGAGTACGGAGTAGTGGTCATTGGTTTTAGCAGTTAGTAGATCATTAGTGAGTTTTAGTAGGGCAGTTTCAGTGGAGTGTAGTGAGCAAAAGCCAGACTGTAAAGGGTCAAAAAGGTGGTTGTCGGTGAGGTAGAAGCTCAGGTGATTGTAGACTAAGCGTTCTAAGAGTTTAGAGGTAAATGGGAGCAGGGAGATGGGTCTTAAGTTGTTCAGGTTGGTGGGGTCCAGGGAGGGCTTTTTAAGTATGGGAGTGATGTGTGCATTCTTTAGAGGGGTGGGGAAGGCACTGTTAGAGAGGGAGAGATTGAAGATGTGAGTGAGGGAGCATAGGATGGAAGAAGAGGGTGACCGTAGTAGTTGTGAGGCGACAGGATCCAGGGGGCAGGTAGTGACACAGACTTCTGAGAAAACCTTAGTGATCTCTTCAGTAGTAGCAAGGTCAAAAGAGCAAAGTGTTAAAGGAGGTTTAGTATAAGGTATGCTAAGTGGGATGGATGCCTGTGCAGTGGAGATGCCCCTACAAGTTGCATCAATCTTGTTTTTTTTAAAAGATTTGCAATCTTCTAAGCGGTGAGTGAGGTACTGGGTGGAGGTGGAGAAAGTACAGAGTTAAAAGTGGAGAAGAGACAACGAGGACTGGATGACAAGCTATTGATGAGAGTGGCAAAGGAGGTTTGTTTGGCAGCATGGAGGGAGGAACTGTATGTTAAGAAAGCAGATTTATACAGGGTGAAAGCTTGGTGAGATTTGGTTTTACGCCACACTCACCCCAGCGCACAAATATGTCGTTTAAGATTTCTGGTGTCGTCAGTCTGCCAAGGTTGTAACAGTCGGGGCCTGATGCTTCGTGTTGTTAGAGGAGCAAGTGAGTCTAGTGTGGATGAAAGCAAACTGTTGTAGACAGCAGTGGCCAGGTCAGGGCAGAACAGGGGGGAGATACTGTCATAGAGGCGATCAGTTACAGAGTGGAAAGGAGCAGGGTTCAATTTGTGAAGGTTTCTGCGGGTAATTGTTTGCTGCTTAGAGGGATAGGTGTTTGAAGATGAGGACACTGTGAAGGTGATGAGATTATGATCAGAGAGAGGAAAGGGGGTGTTTGTGAGGTTATAGGGGCTGCAACGATGGGAGAAAACAATGTCTAATGTATTCCCATCAGAGTGGAGGACTGTGTCCATTGTGCTAAGGCAAAAGATGAGGTTAGGTTGAAGAGTTGGGACGTAGCTGGGTTGTTCACATTAACGGGATGTTAAAATCTCCAAGAATGATAGTGGGTATTTCAGAGGAGAGAAAGTAGGGTATCCAGGTGGAGAAATCATCAAGAAAGCAGGACACCGGTCCAGGAGGCCGATAGATCACTGCAATCCTCAGAGAAATGGGAGAAAACAGCCGAAAGCAGTGAGTCTCAAAAGAAAAGAAGGATAGAGAGGGAGGGTTAGGGAGGACTTGAAAGGTGCTCAGTGGGGATAGAAGCAAACCAACCCCACCTCCTTTCTGACCACTGGGTCTGGGTAAGTGGCCTCCATAGGAAAGTGCTGCGGGAGAAGAAGAATCTGCTGCTTGAAGCCAGCTTTCTATAATTGCTAGTAGGTTAATGGAGCGGGAGACAAAAAGGTCATGGACAGAGGTGAGCTTATTGCAGACAGAGCGGGCATTCCAAAGTGCACATGAAAAAGGGAGGGTGGTTTTTGGGAGCAAGGGGACTGATATTAAATTGAGCAGACTGCGGCTATTCCTGGAGCAAAGAGGGTACCTGGTGTGGGGGTAAAATAGTGGAGGACCAGGGTTTGGGGTGATGTCCCCAGAGGTTAGGAGAAGAAGGTGGATGAGGAAAGTAAGATGGGAGCAGGATGTATATGAGTGTACATGCCTTCCAGTTCTGGTGTTTGGGACAGCAGGTGAGTAAAGTGATAGTGGCCCACAAATAAATGTGTACCTCTATAGCATATAGACTTAAAAAGGTGCCATGAATATAGTGTGGCACATTCACTCACTAGTGGCAGCGCAGCATTCATTTATGTCCAGTACATATCGCTGGATTCAGAGGGGGCTTAGGTGAGTATAAGGGGGGACTGGGGGGGATGCTGCACACAGAAGGTTGTTTACCTTCATGCATAGAATGCATGAAGGTAAAATACCTTGAGCCTTTGGAACCACTTTAAGGCATGCCATGTATGATAGCTGTCACAGTTGTTTGTGCTCTCAACCAAACTGGTTATGGTAATCTGATCACTAGTACAGAACTTTTGTCCAAAATTGGTTGCAGGGACAAGCACGAACATTTTTCTCGTGCGATAGCAGATCGTACGATTTTCGTTTAATCAGTACAGTTCTTCTCCAAAAATACAATACAAATACATTACATCACTTCTGAATTTTAATTTGAGTTATTTATTTCTTCACTTTTGATATGAGACTAGAATGCAAAAAAAAAACCTGAGGATCATTCGTCCGATATTCTCATCGTATGTACGGGGCTTAAGACGACACCTTCCTTGACTGTAAAACATAAGTGTTTAGTTCCACTTGCTTTGAAAATGAAAGATAAAAGCTGATTGGTTGCTATGCACAGCTGCTTTAGATTCTGGCTGCTCCAGTTAGTAAATTCAACTTAGTGAGTTTTAGTTTAAAATGGCCAGAATTAGAGTATCTGGGTGTGATTAGGAAATATCAGGGGACTGGTTAAGACAGATCATGAGCTAGACCAAATTAATCCCATGATTAGAATATGAAATATTTACTATAATGTGCATGTATTAATATGTCTTGAAGTTATACTAAAAATTGTATTCTCACATTATTCATGCATTATAGTAATTGGCTTTGTCACTTGGATCGTATTCTTCCAAATGGTCAGCCTATGAAATTGCTACATTAATACACAGGCCTAGAGGCTGTACTCCAGTTTAATCTGTTTCAGGACTGTGTACAAAATATATAGTGGGAAGCTCACATAAAAATGATACTTTAAACCCAGTTATGACATGTAAACTGATAAAAATTGGCGACCTCTAAATAAATGACACTTGATATTACAACAAATGTTTACTCTTTTCTCACTGCAGGAGAGCACATCTCCCAGTGTCCAGCCTAGCAGAGCCATTACAGCCTAAGGCTTTAGTTTCCGGCAAGTGCAGTTAATTTAAACCAAATGTCCCGGCCACTTGGTAGTTTTTTCCTTCCCAAGCAGATCCATGAGGAGTCTACAGTCCGGCACTCACGTTATGTCTCATGTAGGAGTGATAAATAGGTCCCACAGGTTTTTTGGCTGTGGCTGAAACAGCAACAATATTCTGCAGTTTTCACTTTAGCCTAAGCTTCGGTATGTGACTAGGGATTTCAATATGTTCTGGCAGTCTCCCTTTTCCAACCTAACACATGTCTCTCAAATTACCAGCAAACTCATTTCTTTTATTATTTTAATACATTTTCAACTCTCGATCCTAATTAGGATTAAGACCTGGAGGGAATTTGCAGCCTTTTACCATCCTTGATGCCAGAGTAAGCTGCACAGATCTTCCATTACACTCTAAAATCCTGTTTGTGTTCTTCTTTGAAGCTTTTTTCCTGTACATGCAGGCTATGTGTAAGGTATCCAGCAATCCTAGCACTTTGTTGCAGGGTCCTGTGTTATACATAGCAAGGGCAATGACATTGCCAAAGTCCACCCAGAAAACACACTCTGTTCTGCCAAATCCTTCCAATTAGACACTGTGCAGGTACTATACTGGAAGAGTATTAAAAGCTTTCCCCGTTAATTTTATGAACGACGGTTTCTTCCAATCTTCTACTAGACACTGAGCAATTATAGGAAAGATGACGTTTTTTTGTTTGTTTTTTTGCCAGTTAGTTCACAATAAACTGGATCCATTCATCTACAACCTAAGCATTGGTGATGCAAGTCTACTTCAGCCTGGCAAGACACAAAACATCTTTTGATTAGCAAACATTAATTGAAAGGATGTCCATGTATTAGGGTCTTTTCCTTTTCATTTTTTTTTTATCCAAAACTAAAAAATAAAGTTTGGGCTATACATACACTTATTTATTATGTTAGACACAATTGCAGCTTCAAAAACAGAGAAGTGAAAGAAAAAGGTTTTGTTTAGGGACCTGCCCAGTCCTAATATTGAAAACTATCAAAAGGCGTTTGTTTAGACCAGAGAAATTCTTTAAATCTTAACTTTATGCAGATGTTTAACCACTAGCCTACAGGGCACTTATACCCCCTTCCTGCCCAGGCCAATTTCCAGCTTTCAGCGCTGTCGCACTTTGAATGACAATTGCGTGGTCATGCAACACTGTACCCATATGAAATTTTTTTGTGACAGATAGCGCTTTCTTTTGGTGGTATTTAATCACCTCTGGGTTTTTTATTTTTTCTTAAACAAACCAAAAACCACTGAAAATTTTGGAAAAAAAATGTTTTTTCTTAGTTTCTGTTATAAAATTTTGTAAATAAGTGATTTTTTTTCTCCTTCACTGATATACGCTAATGAGGCTGCAGTGGTGGGCACTGATAGGCTGCACTGATGGACACTGATAGGTGGCACTGATGGGCACTGATGAGGAGGCACTGGTAGGTGGCACTGATGGGCATTGACAGTCATCACTGATGGGCACTGAAATGCAGCACTGATACATGGCACTGATAGGCAGCACTGATAGGCGACACTGACTGGCACTGATAGGCGGCACTGATTGGCACTTATAGGTGGCACTAACTGGCACTGCTGGGCGGCACTGACACGGCACTGATAGGCGGCACTGATGCGCACTGATAGGTGGCACTGACTGGCACTGATAGGCGGCACTGGCTGGCACTGATTGGTGGCACTGATTGGCAACACTGATAGGTGGCACTGAGTGGCACTGATGGGTGACACTGAAAGGCAGCTCAGATGGGCACTGATATGTGGCATTGATGTGCACTGGTAGGCACTGATATGTGGCATTGATGTGGCACTGATGGGCACTGGCATGAGGCACTGATGAGCACTGACACAAGGCACTGATGGACACTGACAAGTGGCACTGCTGGGGCTACACTGATCATCAGGGCACACTGATCATCAGTGCCCTGATGATCTGTGTACATGTCCCCTCCGCGGAAAGCCGATTACCTGCTCTCCGCTCGAGCTGTCAGCGTGACAGCTCGAGAGGAGAGAAATGCCAATAACCATCATTTCCCTGTTTACATGTGATCAGCTGTGATTGGATACAGCTGATCACATGACTGAGCCGACATCTTCGGCTCTTTCCGTGATCGGTGATCCGCTGTGTCCAAGGGACACAGCACACCGCCGATCGCCGCGCTGCGCGCTCCCTGAGCCGCGCATGCGCGGTGAGAATAGGAGGACGTCATATAACGTCCTCCCAGAATAAGAAAACCACCTTGCGCCCGCCATTGGACTATATGGCGGGCGGGAGTTGGTTAAGAACGGGTAAAGTTATGTATTCATTAAAAAATATTAAATGTATTTCAACTGCAACTAGTATAAATACCTGTTTTACTTGAGTTCAGTCTTGGGTTCAGCTTTTAAAGGCAAATTTGTCTTTATTATATTTTACAGCAACGTTAACAATACAAAACATGAAAAAAATAATAATAATAATAGCATGGACAAATAAATGGATAGAAAAATTTCATAGGTGTGTCAATGGCCCATGCGGATGAATGATAATAAATCTAAACAACAATGAAATGGAGGTGTTTCAATAACAGATATTGCGTAAATATATAGAGAAACAAAAAAGAACATAAGTTCACGGGGTGCATCCCCAGACAAAATATACGGAACAAGATGTGGAAATTCTGTGAAACCATAAACATAAACCCAAAGAGAAAAAGAAGGAAAAAAAAAAAAAAGAAGAAAAACAGTCTACAGGGAAGAGAAAAAAGAAAAAGGGGAAGTCAATTGTAGGGATAGGGAGGGAGAAGAAGAAGGAGGGTCGGGGGGACAGATGCGGCAGAAAGCAGAGCCAAGGTGGCCCCACACACAGCATCCCGCCAGAGTGAACCCGCCGCCCGCACCCGGTACGCCAAAACAAGAATGCATCGGAGAAGCAAGGCTCAACTCCTCTAGGACATGGCAGAGGAATACATATCTCAGAAAAGGTGAAAAGGAGAAGAAATGAAGCCAGACCAACCACAGTAACCTATGTTTATTATAGATATCATTGGAAATGCAAGCATCTCCTCCATACGCAAGGTATTATTAAGCACAGAAACCCACATTGACAGGCAGGGGAGTGGTCGTTTTCCAAAAGAGGGGTATCAATTGTCAGGCTGTGGATAGAAAGAAACGTGACAGATTTTTCTTCTGCGCAGCCATCGAGCCCGGTAATATAGAGAGAAGAGCAATCTCCGGGACCAAGGACTTACCATAGATCTTGTCGTAAACAGCAAAAACCTGCCGCCAGAAGGGTTGTATCAGGTAACAATCCCACCAAATATGGAGCTGTGTACCAACAACTTTAGTACAGCACCAACAAAGATTAGTTGTAGAAGGAAATATTTTGTGTAGGGAGAGGGGGTCCCGGTACCATTGAGAAAGGCGCTTAAAGTTCTTTTCTTGGGAATAGCAAGAAATGGACGATTTATGAGTGAAGTGGAATGACGTGGACCAGTCCGCAACTGATATGTCTTTATCTATGTCCCGTGCCCACGCCTTGGTGTAGGGAGGGAGTTCAGAATGAAGAGCAGTATGTAGCACTTTATAGAGGGAAGCTAGGACATGTCTTGGCGGTTCAGAGAGGGAGCACAACCGCTCAAACTCAGTGAGTGGATGGTGCATATAGGAGGAGTATAAATGTTTGCAAAATGAGGATAGATGTAAAGTGGTCAACCAATCCTTAGGCCCACCTTGAAGGAGTGGGAGACACGATTGGGGGCAAATAAAGTTTTGGGCTATGGGCCAGGAGGCACGTGTAAAGGGACCAAGAATAGAAGAGCCTAGCCCCTAAGAAAGAGCAGGGTTATCAAATAGGGATGATAGGGGAGAGGGATCAGAAGATAATAAAGCAATGATGGCATGTTGATACCACAAGCGCAGTGCAGCCACAGTCAATGGAGACAGGCCGGGAAAATGCTTAAAGTCCTGGCTATAACCCCAAGGTAAAGCCGGAAGATCAACTTGAGCCAAATCTTGTTCTATCATACAAGAGTC